GATATCTTGTAATATAATCAAGTGATGCAAGATTTTGAATATTTCTGGCATATTTTTTTTATGAATTGCCTGGTTTTCAGGGAGTGTGGGAACCATGAGGTCGCATTCCGGGGGTCCATAAATACTTGTAAAGGATAGGTAAAGAGTCATGTGACTAGAGTTTTGTTTTATTTTTTAAATTATAATTTATGAGACTTTAAAAGTTATGAATTGAACTCTTATGAAAGATATGTATGTTTAGATACTTTATGTCCACATAAATATTCAGGCTATTTCAGATTCAAGCTTATCGTCAAACATATTGTTACTTTTTTTTTGAAAGAGCAACATATTGTTACTTTGTTATCCAAAAAAGTTATCTTCTTTCCAAATTTTATTTTTTTTTAATAAAAAAGTAATTGTTATTAAGTAAAAAATTTAAATCATCTCTTTTGTTTAGTTTCACATATTTTACCTTGTAATCTGTCGTTTTTTTTTTGTTCATAGAGACTTTTCCATAAATTTTGTCAAAATATTATGACTTTTCTAAATGTAATAACACAATTATGCACAAAATTCTTCAAAAATCCTAAGATTTTGACCAAATTTATGGAAAAGTTCTTGTTTTTTTAACAGAAAATGACAGATTACCGGGTAAAACATGTGAAACCGGACAAAACTGCTGATTTGAATTTTTTTATACGGTAATCAGACTTTTCTGTTAAAAAAAATAAAATTTAGAACTTTTTCATAAACTGTGTCAAAATAATATAACTTTTGAGATTTCCCTATCAAAATATATAAAATTTGACATTAATTAATAGAAGTATTTGGTTAATAAGAAAATGAAATGAAATTGGTATAGGTTTTTGGGTTAGAAGAAGTACATTTTTTAAATCTTTTATGGAAATGATATAACTTCAAGAAATAACTCTTTTATTTATATAGAAATATAGAATATATTAATAAGTTCCATAATAATGTTTTGATGGTTATGATTGTATTTTGTTTGAAAGAAAATGTGCATATCTTCTCAATATATTTGGTTTGGAATTTTTCTTTTGACGTCACTTTCACTTTGTACGTAAATTTTGGAAAAAATCAACTTGCAACTTTTTGTTAGTTTTTTAATATTTTATTTTTCTCTATGAAGATAAAATAAAAGGAACCGGCGTCTTTACCCCTACTTTGATTTTAAGAGGAACGACAAGGGTAAAAACATGGAATCAATTGGTAAAAGAGATCCGATATTCAAATAACAAAATGCAAGTTAGGCCAAAGCATGTTAACACTTTTTCTTTTCTTTTTTCCGAGGTTTCAATGTAGCCTTTATTTTTATTTTTTTAATTCTTTTCGTTTTCAACGAGGAGATCTTGTGATAAACATGAAATATCATTCAAATGTTTCTGATAAAATTGATCGAGTTGTTGTAAATATGCTGTAAACAAACATGGAAATGAAGATGGTGAATTCTAAAAAGAATTTCTACATACTAATGGGTAATTAGCATATTTATTTATTTATGTTTGCTGATTAAAAGGAATGGCTAATGCATAGCTAACAATGGGTTTTCTAACCATTCCGACCAACTAACACTTATCTTACTATTCCTATAAACAAACTAAAAAGGGATTTTGTAATATGTGTCATAAAAGCACATATAAGAAACATTAATTTAAATATTTTTCTTTTAACCGGCAAATGAATATATATAAAAAGGAGCCCCTAGCAAGAAGCTAGGAAAAGACCCAAAACAGATACAATATGGAAATAAGAGAAAATAAAGTAAGCAAACAATTTTAAGAAAAAACCACCGGTTTTATAGTGGTTGTATACTCCAATCCGTCCATTTAAGACTCTCATTACCACTTTTGTGTTTGAACCAGACGAAAGTGATGGATTTGATGATATCTACAACTTTTGTAGCTGTCATTTTGTTTTTGTTGAACCGCCAATTGTTCCTTGCTTTCCACACACTCCACATCATTCCGTAACATATACCAACAACTCTCACTCTCCTTTTTGGACAATTTCCCCAGTTTGAGGCATAATCCAAAACATCAACCACCGAATTCAAGCTGATCAAAGGGATATTACACCAACTAAAAATCCACTCCATGATTGACTTTGCGAAAGGACATTGTACTAAAATGTGATCCACCGTCTCTTCTGCGTTCCCGCACTGTTGACAAATGTTTGAGTCCACCATCACCCCTCTTTTGATAAGTTCCACTGCAGCTGGGTATTCGCCCTAATCTAGCCCTCCATATGAAGCTCGTTACTTTTAAAGGCACTTGTTTAACCCATAAGAATTTTCCAATGCCTACCGGTTCCTGAGTTTGCAATCTAACTCTCAATGCTTTGACTTTAAACTCACCATCAGTCGTGAGGCCACACGACCAAGTTACACCATGTGGCTGCACATTCTTTTTAATCACCTGATCAATTGAAACTCCTTTTTTCTCTAGGTCTTTCTTTGCACCAGTAATGTTTTTCCAAGTTCCTGTCAATGTTTTTTTTGAATAATATTCATCCGGTTTGTTTTGAATATTATGTATACCTTTAATAACTTTTGCCCATAATGCCTTTTGTTCCACTCTTTAATCTCCACAACCATTTTACAATAAGGAAAGTATTTAGTGCTTTTAAGGAACCCACCATTATCAAATAAATGTGATAAACATTTATTATATGTAATATTACCATAATTAAATATAAAATAAATTAATTATAAAGAATATTATTGATAATTAATACTAGTTTATAACCCGTGAGAACCACGGTTACAAAATTAATTATACTTTTATAATAAAAACTCAAAATTATTAATCAATTATTTTAAATAAATTATTAATTAAGAGATATTTTTTTAGTTATATAAAATTATAATCGTTGATTTAATTATAATCTGTATTAATTTTATTTTAATTTTTATTCGGTTGTTATTAAATTAATGTAATTAGAATGGAAAATTTAAAATTTGAAATTTGAAATTAAGAATTAAAAGATTGACAAGTGGCATAGCACTAATTAGGAGCCTTAATATGGTGACACATGGCAAAATGAGAATAAACCTATTCTTTTACTAGAATAGGGATTTATCACATTTAATTATGATAATATTTCTTATAATTAATACTTCTTATATGTGCTCTTACGACACATATTAGAAAATCTCAACTAAAAATTAGGAAGATTCAATCAATCTATCCACAAGCACATCATTTTTAGGCTTTTTATCACAAAAAATAATATCATTTCTAAAATTTCATACCACCAACCACATTCCAAGATCATACGCTTCATTTTGGAAATCCGAATAGAATAGATCTACACGCACGCATCCCCCAAGTCATTGAAGTGTGGAATATGTTTGTCACTCACTTCCCTATAAACATGCACAAAATCATCGCTGCTTCACAAGACACAAGAATCTGAAAGATATCTTCAATATCCGCTTGAGTCTTGACAAATCGGGAAAATGACTCAGTGCACATCAATACCTCTTGCCTCTAAATTAACATAAGTAGGAAGTCTATTCCTAAAACATCTCCAATAAATAAACATTAACTTTTCTTGGCATGAATCTATTCCATCATGTCTCAATCATACCATTTGGAAACAAGTCATTATCAATGATCCTTCACACCTCCCCCCACCGTGAACACGTCTGATCCGCCAGCATCCCACACCCAAAAGTATTCATTATACGTAAGATGTACACCATTAATGACATTAAGCATCTCATTCAATTGAGTTTCTTCAATTCCTCTTCTAACGGGACATCGTCAATGCCAAATATAATTGTTATGACCCAATCTTTCATTAATATAACGCTCTTGAGCCAAATCCAAAGCATATATCCTATGAAACTGAGCCATAAAAGGGTTCCCTCCACCCCCAAGTATCTTTCCAAAACCTTGTTATCTGTCCATTTTCTATCTTGTTTTAATAACCTCGTGATTTATAGTGTGAGATTCATGTAAGTGATTAATAGTACCAATGATCTTTCTCCACACTTTTAGTAACAATCGGATCATCATTTATACCAAGACCAGCCTCAAAACCATGCATTGATTTTAACACTGGAACACACAAAGCTTTGTTCTCGTTTAGAAAACGTCATTTTCATTTATAAAATAAAGCTTTATTAAAAGCCCTCCAACAAACCAATCTCAAAGCCACCTTTTTGTTTACTCCTACGAACTCCTTCCCGGTTAACCCAATGAATCTTACGATCACTTGAGTCAGCACCCAAAAAGAAAATTTCCCGAATAGATTCCTAATACTTATTCATAATGTTTGGCATGTGAAAAATAGACAAGTAGTAAATACCTAAAAAGAGCCCAAAACCGATTTAGCACTTGAAATCGTCAGTCCAAAAACTAGCCAATAATCAAGATTTTTCATCAATAACCATGCATTTCACAAAATGTTTATGGGCACTTCATTTTTGGTATTTCGCAGTGTCGATAAGCATTCTGCATGGCACCTTGCAAAATGGACCCTACAAACTGCGAAATGTTCATCCCCTACTAAATGCTTTAAAATAAATAAATAAAAAAAACACAAACAAATTTGGAAACAATCCATATATGTGTGAATCTAAACTACTTATATAAGGAAAACTTACTTGAATACGTCTATTTTCTTTTTCAGCTATTACGATTTAAAAGTTTCTGTTAGTATTGCCAAATGAAAAGAAAAAAAAAAATGAACTTCTACGAAAAAGATTGGCTTAATAATGGAGATCCACATCCAGACATTTCGCATGGGGCACTGTAAAATGCCAAAAACGTTGTTTCACACCAATAATAGCAATATATATACCCACAGGAGCAACAACTTATATTATAATTTTTTTCTTTTCATAATTGCAACATACTTGCATTTCACACCAATATTGGCAGTGTACTTAATTTGTGACATTGTTATTATCAGTAAAAAAAATTAGTCTTATTTACAGAATTGAGAGTATGTTACTATTATGTTAAAAAAATGTAAATATGTTCATATTATTGGTAGAAGTATTTTGCATTTTACAAGTTTCAAATTACATACTGCTAAACATAAAATTACCAGACCCTTTTACATTCATGCTCAAAACAAACATTACATACACACTGCATCCCGGATAATTTCAATTCCATTATCCAATTCCACAAATACTTCAAAACTCCCATGGCTAAAAAAAAAAAAACAATACCATCTATTTTACACAACTAGAATTTTTTTTTTTTTTCAACAAATAACAATTCAAAAAAAACATGTGAAACCTCAGAGCTCCTCCTATCATGACAAAACTGAAAAATTCATTACCCACAATTCCCTTCTTAATGTACAAATCCAACAAGCTCTGAATCCTTAAGTAAGAATCCCGTTTGCAAAAAATATGATATATATATTATCATCAAACCAAAACTTGTGATAAACACTAGAGATGGTGATAGAAGAGAGTGAAAAATGTTATCATATCTCACGAGGGATGTTGCTGATTTGTCCTTCTTCCAACATGTCTTTGTTGTTCAACTTGTAACTTATTCTTATGCGCATAATGATTGCTTTCTGCCATAATAAACAACATTCATCATGTAAACAATTATTTTATTTTTTTTGAACACACAAGCATTTCATTCCATGATGATTTATTTATAGTTACCTTGCCATGTTGAGTGTTGGTAACTCGTAACTTTTGTGTTATTGAGCCATTACCACTTCCAGGAAGAGAGTTACTGCTAGCAGGTTCCAAATGCAACTGAAGAAACTGTCGATTGAATAGCATATCATAATTCATATTCATATCACACAGTATGTATTCAGACAACAACTGAATTAAGAGCTGAATAAACATGAAAGATTATGATTATTAACGTAGTAAGTAAATGTAAATGTTACCTTTGGTACTGCTGCTTGGAAAACAAAGTCTGAATAGACATTGGAAGACTTGTTTGTGAAGTTTGCTTCAATCTCGGTTGTTTGTGGATTCCCAGGTTGTTTAGTAAAGTTGAACATTAACCTTAAAGAGCTGCTCTCAAAAGCAACTAATGTTGGATAAGCAGGAGCATCGTTTTCTGTTACATTAAAAAACAATGGTTAGAATTTAAAAAATAACTTTTTTTACCAAAGTTTAATATAAAATAATAAATAAATAAATAAACGTACTAGGTGGTGGAGGGGTAGGACCAAATCCGTCTAATAAATCCATCATAGGTGAAGGTGATGAAAGGCTGCCTAATGGAGTAACTGAAGTTTTATTATTGTTATCTTGATTTATCGATAATATATCATCATGTGGTGTAGATGAACCATTTTGATGAGGAGGTGATCCGATTGACAGTAGATCCAGCAGAACATCTGTGCCACTTTTTTGAGCCTGGTTTGCATTTGTAACTGAATTTGAAACAAACAAAAGTAAAAAGGCCATATGTTACTTATGACATATATATATATATATATATATATATATATATATATATATATATACACACACACACACAAGAAGACGATTTCAATTTTCAACAAGAGAGTGACAAATTGATATGATTTGAATCTAAAGCTAACCTGGTTGTGATGAAGAAGGGGACATGCCATTGCCAACATCCAGAAGATCTTGAAGAAAGTTGCCACCTGTCATCATGCTATTTGTATTTGGTGGAAGAGGTTCTTCTCCTCCTCCTAAATCAAGCAGGTCTACTAAAGGAGCAGCAGTTGTTTTAATAACTCCATTAGGAACACTACTTCCCATTGAAGTTGAAGGAATAGAAGTAGAACCATTTCTCCTTCCACTAAAACTTGCTTCATCAAGAACTGGCATCCTTTCAACCAGTGCAGACCTTCACATATGACATACCATTACTAATTACTAATTACTTCACTTCAATTTTTTATATTAAATTATCAATAGTTCCATACCTTATATTCTGATGCTTTTCAATTATAGAATCAAATTCTGTGGATCTTTGTTGCAGTTCAAGCAGAAGGCTTCCTTTAGATTGAACAACCATATCCTTTATTCTCCTAAAATTGAGCACCCATGACATATGTTATCAGAAATTTCATATAAACTAAACTTGAGTGCTTTTAACGAATAACAATGAAACAAGCAAAACTTACTGTGAGCAAACACGGAAACGGGATGACAGTTTCAACAAAGCAATCAAACACATAGCTCTGGTAGTAAGATCCGATGCATGGTGTTTGATTGCAAGTTCAACAACATCAACAGCATCATTTTCAGTTATCTGTTGATAAACAAACATTTAAGAAATATATATATATACATATATATATATATATATATATATATATATATATATATATATATATATATGCATAATATGTTATATATAACAAAGAGAGATAAAGATTTAAGAAAACTCACAGTTATAGGTTCCTCAAGGTCAAGCATTCCAATACCGTTTACCAGCATGTCACCATATTCCCCTATGCACCATACAGCCACCCGAACAAGTGTTTCCTGATTTTCAAAGCATATAATAAGTATATGTTTAAGTTGTAGATATAAAGTAGTAAAGTAGTAAAGTGAAGGTACCTGGTCAAGTGATGTTTGGACTGCCTTGTAGAGAGAGCGTACTGTATATCCATGGAGATTAGAAGCATTGGTTATTACAACAATAAGAGCATGCCATACTTCATCTTTTACATGGTTTCCAGCCTACTAACAATACAACATCAGATTAGTAGTAGTAGTCCATGTCAAATTGTCAATTCTGAAAAAACTACTTCTAATCCAAAACATGCACCACAGATTTAAGTAGGGGTCCAATCCAAATAGGTGGAATGAAAACTATTCAATGTGCAGGAATCACTGACCAAACTAACCTAAAAACTATAGTACAGTTTTGACTAAAAGCTTTAAGTCAAATGAACATCATGAAGCACAACTGATTGAAACTATGAAGTGAACAAAAATACCATGTGAATTATAATGAACATGGCTTTAAGTTAAGACAACCACCCTACATGGATTATGAAATATAATGAACAAAAATACCAGGTGAAACTGTTTATTTATGCAACAGATTCACACACAAAAAAAAAAAATCAATTTATGCAACAATGTTCATTATTATATAAAATATGCAACAACGTTTCAAAATTGGACCAATTCAGGCAACAAATTAATGAAAAACTGGTTAACCGGTTACCATTTTTATTTTTTATATTTTAACTACTTACATGGACATTCCACTTGTAAAAAAAGGTTAATATTATAAAAGACCTTATATACTATGTTTTTTTTCCAGATTAAACCTCAACTTTATTTTTTCCTGAAAAAGACCTTGCATTTTTCCATGTTTTTCGATTTGGCCCTTTTAGCAGTTTTTTTTTCCGAAAAAACTTGTCAAATGTGAGGGTTTTTTAAATAAAGAAAATAAAAAGTTGAGGGTTTTTTCGGAAAAAAATAAAAAGTTGAGGGGTATTTTTGGAAAAAAGTGAAAACGCAAGGTCTTTTTCAGGAAAAAAAAAAGTTGAGGTTTAATCCAGAAAAAAAACCCAATATATAAGGTCTTTTATGATATTAACCCGTAAAAAATTCATGTCACCAAATATAAAAAAATAATAAAGAAAAAAAATAGCAGGATATTTTCCCTAAAACAACTGATTCTGCAAATATCCAATAACATGGTAGAACCATCAATATACAGAACCAAATGGTGATGGTCTTGCAAAATGGAGTGGAGTTGAGGAATTGACATGCCATAAATCATTTACTTTTGTCTGTTAAAATACAACTAAGCAACTAATGTGTCAAAAAATTTAAAAACTTATGCCACATCATACACATAAGTCATAACAGGTTGCATGAATTGGTCCTATTTTGAAACACCATTGCATATTTTGTATAAAAACAAACATCATAAATTGGGAAAAATGTGAAACATTATTGTATAAATAAGTAACTAACCCTAAACAAGAATTAGGAGTCCTTTATAAGTCTTTAGTAGCATACTAATAACTTCCACCAAGGTTTTTATAACAATTTAGAGGTCACTAGCAATGCATGGAAAATGAAATTCATCATTTACAAGAACCTACTACCATAATACATACCTCAGAAAGAACCATGAGCATCTGATCAATGTACCAAATCTTGTCAGGGGAAAGCCTACAACACCAATGAAGAAATGTTATTGTGTGTATGATAAATTGAAATCATCAAAATATGCTATAACAATATTACATTCACCAAATTAAAAGATAAAAATGAAACCTTCAACTTACTTTTCTACAATGGAGCAAATTTTTTCAGTAAGATCTCCCTTGAAGTCCTGGTCACTTACATGTAGATAATCAATTAACTCCTTGGTCAAAGGCTTTACATTCGTTTCATTCACTAGAAGGTATACAAGTTCAAGAGCTCTTTTACGAATTGAAGCATCTGAATCCTGAATCATAAAGAAGCATTCAGAAACCACAACAAACTATATAACTTGATTGATATTTCTTTTTGTTAAGAGAAAAGTTTTACCTTTACACATTCCAAGATTGTTGCACGATGTCTCTGAACTGCTTGATCATCTACTGAAATTGCTTTCATCAGCATGTTCAATGCAACATATCTGTCATATAACAAATCCCAATATTATAGACCATAAAAAAAGGAATACTCATAAGATATAACTCACCTGATGTTGTTGTCACGATTAGACAAGAATCTTCCCAATATATTGATTGCAAGAACACGTAAACCACTACTATCTTCAATGCTCATAATGGTTTCTACACATTCATAAAGTATTGCATTCCCTGCATTCTTGTTTGACTCAGTTTTTGTTGCCACCTACACAAGGAATTCATAAACTGTTATAACTTTGAATTATATATCACAATAAGCTTTATTAAAATAAAAGCTAACCTGGGCAAGAATGTCATTCATGGAATCACTAGCATCAGCATCTCCATGGCCCAAAACACGCAAAAGGCGAAGCAGTCTTATATGAAGAAAAGGGTCTGCAATACCTGAAACGTCATATTCAGGAGCATATGGGCTGTTCACAACATCCTTCAAAACTTTCACCAACACCTCTGTGCATTTCTATACCAAAGGAAGAAAAAAGAAAATATATCTCATCACTAAAATTACTAATTTGCCCTTATAGAATCATATGTCAAACCATTCTTAGCACAAATTCACATTAGAAAGATAAAGAAAGAGAACAAGAAGAAGACAATCCCAACAAATAATAGAGGATCTTTGACAAGATCAAGTATATTTACCTTCCTGAAAAATTCAAGAGCCTCTTCATTAAGGTTACAGAGATCTGTACAGAGCTGGATTGCTGTTAAAAGAACCCCATGATGCTTTTCTTTAAGTAAGGAAACAACAGGGTTGACAAAATTTTCTGCAAGGTCGGGGACCTTCTTTACAATCCTTATCGAGCACAATGCTGCCTGTAAATTGTAAGAACTTATGTGAGTATGATTCTATGAAGTGTGAAATGTGAGAATTAGATGAAACATCTTCAAGAGATCATGAAATGAAATGAATGTTAACATCAGCTTACTTTCTTACGAATATTTGGATCTCGAAATTGCAGCAATCTTTCAACTTCAGGTGCAAGATCACGAGCCATTTCTGCAGAACATATATTACCCAAAGCACAAAGAGCTAGTCCCACAATGTACTGATTGGTGTGGTTAAGATCTCTGCAGATGATGAAAAAAAAAAGATTCTCAGAGTCAACCATGTTGCTTAAACACAAGATATATGAAAGATAAGAGTGAAGAAAGACAGGAGCATACTGCTTTAGTGAATTGGTGACAAGCATCAAAACTTCTTGTCTTTCATCAAGAAGCAACATAAGTCCCAGATATCCTATTCTCTTTTCAGGGAATCCAGGAGCTGCTATAAGTTTCAAGCATTCCATTTGCCCAAAATGTGTGGGGTATCCTAACATGTGAATGAACATGAGCTTTGCCAAGTTACGGTGTCTGTAATCATTATCATTATCACTAACTGATGCACGAATAGAAGCACATTCTTTTCTAACAACAGCACGCTCTTCTGCAGCAGTTTTGCAGGCTCGTATTGCCCTAATCATGTCCCTGCAGTAGATCAATAATATTTCATTCACAGTTTCAGACCCAACTAAATAACAGCATATTACGCATGTGGTATGAAATGTAGTCAAATCTTTTGCAGGTGAGAGATAAACCAAAAAGATGGAAAATCTTAAGTAGAGACATATGGATTGCGAGGGATGGTTCATGATAGAGTCCATGGATTATCTTCATACCCAGATTAGGATCTTATAAGTATTGCAGTTGGTGATAGTGTCTTACTCATTTGAGTGACCCGTCCAATCGGGAAATACATGGATGAATTCCATTAAATGTACACAAATCCAATGCCCCAACTATTACGAACGCGAACTAACTCTCAATATAGACAATTTGAGATCACCTTAATACAAATTAGGTCGAAATGAAGAACAACTAGTTCAAAATTGATCACAAGGAAAAGCTTTAAAACATAAGATCAGTTGTAAACAAGCAACTCACCTTAGACGAGTCCCAGACGAAAAGGGATTCATGATTGGGTCGGTTTTGAAACCGCGAGAGAGCTCGATCAGATCCAGAGATGTTTAATGCAAAAACGAACTATATAACCGGGTCGTAGACCGGTGTCTGCAATTATATGTATGTTTGATCGAATCGAGATCTGGGGAAAGGTCAATTACGAGGATCTGAAGAGGAATTTGAGATCTGTAGCCTATGGATGCTAATGCAAACGTGATGATGATGACCAAAAATCTTGATTTCTCTCCCTAAATTCTTCCACTTTCGCTTCGGTGGGAGAGATGTAAGCGAGTATGCATCTATCTTTGTTTTCCCTTTTTGAAAAGCGGAAGACAAAGTATAGAAAACCAAGCACTCAAATCAAATGAAGTATGCAACAAATAACAATGTCTCATTTTCTTTCTTTCATTTCTTAAGTCGTATTCTTTTATTCGGTGCAACGAGACTTCAGATATTCTAATTTAAGGGTTTCATATAAAACCATTCTTTTATAAGGTAAAGACATATTTACATAAACTATGATATTAAAATAAAATGTTGGTTTCGGTTAAATAAAGCAATTAGGGAGCGTCATGATGAGTGTCCCTTGCAATGTTTCCGGTGGATTTCTCCAATGTTTTTAGAGTGGTGGATATATCACATTACTAATTACTTCATGAGGTGAGGTTGAGTTGTCTTTCCATTTCTTTGTGAGTATAATTCTTATATGAACCGCAGCAAAATTATATTTGGAAGATAAACATATTTTGTCACTAGAGTTAAGCATATTTGGTTCACTACTGAAATCAACAAAATTGTATTAGTCCACTACTGGAATTAAGCAAAATTGTATTTGGAAGATAAACATATTTGGTGGAGTTCAACAAAAGTATCCTTTCAGACCACTTTTTTTTGGTTCTTGTATTGCACCCTATTGTACATCAGATTAAGGACAATTACAAGCTTCTTTATGCATGGTATCTTGATGATGAGACCTCATCAGAGACTCAATGGAGATTACTAGAGTATTGGACATCATTAAGGCGATCGATGCAAGATTAGGTCTTGAACTAAACTTAATTATAATATTTTGATTGTTTACATAAGAAAAACATGTCATGTGGTTCTTAGTTGATGGCATGGCAAGTTAGAAACCAAAGAATGGGTATTTTCCTATATTTGTTTTTATTAACGAGTATCGATTTCAAAAGATAGTAACCTTATAACAAAATTTGATGTTTAATGACATATTAGACACTACTATAACTTTCATGACTCAAAGAGCAAAATTGTAATGATTTAACGGTTGTATTATATGTTATTGATCTTTTTCAAACGATAATGAATAATAAATTTGAGAAGTGTCTTAAAAATGGTTGGGTAAAAAAATAAATTCATGGGCCCCTATCTTGTTTCTTCGTAGATATTTGTTTTTGGTATCCATTTCTACAAATTCAATGACTATTGTCTCAACTTGTCGGTGGCTTTAGGCATTGCACTGTACTATTATATTTGTTAGTGTAAGTGTACGGAATTTATGTAGGGATATTAATATGGTATTAAAGAAAATAATAAATATATTGTATTTTAGATTTTTCTGAAATGACCAACCACTCCATAACAGATTGTTTACGACTTGAGATTCGTTAGACACCTATCGAGTAAGTGGTTCCTTCTATTTAATTAAATTATTAAATGCGGTACCTACATTGGGGGCAAGGGCGGGGTGAGGAGGCTGGAAATTTTGGGGGCGGGGGCAGGGGTGGGGGAATGGGGAAATTTCGGGGGTGGGGCGGGAGATGCAATCTCCGTCCCGTTTGCCCCTGTTGACATCCCTAGAAATAGGATCGAATTGTGAAAAGCTTCAGGTGTTATCATGTTCTTTGTAACTTATATATTTGTTTAACTTTTTTGGTGTTATATTGTGAAAAAAAAACATTTTCTAAACATAAAAACCCTAGTTTGAAAAGCCATGAACTTGTCTGTAACATATTTCATTTTATGTTTTACATACATACTAATTGAGTGTTTCTTATTAGTTTGGCTTTGATAACCATTAATAAGTAGGAAATGAATCATTACTTCAATAGAAAGGCATGTTTGTAATATTATTCTCAGTCCGAAACTAGGGGCGGAGCTACATACACTTTAGTTGGATCCTAAGACCTACCTAAATTTTATTATTTTCTAGAAATTATATAGAAACTTATATTAGGACCTACCTTGTAGTATTGAAAAGAAAAATTAAGGACCAACCTAATTTCCTATGAGGGGTCATGCGTTTTTTTGTTCTAAATTCGTCACTATCGGGAACACGAATAACTTGTCCGGAATAATTGTCTAGAATACAAACCATATTCATAGTACGATTAACTTGTTTGAAATAGTACTTTCAAATTTTGTTATGCTAATCTGTTTTACTATTATTTTAGGATGACCGTGTATTAATTGTTTCAATGGTCATGGCATGCTAACATGACATGTGTAAGAAAATTCTTATGAAACTATGAACTATCGTTGGCATGTCCGCATGTGAGATGTTTTTCATATAGTCATGCTTAATGAGGTGGCTTGAGGTCCTCGACGATCTGTAAGGTGACTTGTTGCTTATGCATTACATGTTTTGTAAGAGATTATTAGATATTTACGACTCGACGTAGAGGAGCTATACTTTGAAAACATGCATATAAAGAATATATAAAAACAAAGGAATCTTACAAAAAATGCATAGAAAGAAGATAAAAAATATCTGTTGAAACATCCCAAAAATCCAGGGTAAAATTTTCATTTTTATTTAATCAAAACACCATTATGACTTTGTCCAAACATTGAAAAAACATTTAAATAAAAACAATTATCAGAGTTCATTCCCAAAGATCACATATTGCGAAAAACACGGGTGTATGCGTTGCGATCATCCCGAGCTCTTTCGTTTGAAAACTAGAGTACCTGAAACAAAAACTGAAAACCGTAAGCACAAAGCTTAGTGAGTTCCTCAAATACTACATACCATACAATAAACATTCTGCCAAGCATATATGGGTGTTGGCCTCCTCTTCGGTCTATTTCAACCGGATACTGCCGAGCATATCTGGGTGCTGGCCTCCCCTTCGGTCTATTTCAACCGGATACTGCCGAGCATATCTGGGTGCTGGCCTCCCCTTCGGTCTATTTCAACCGTATACTCGGTCTATTTCACCCCTACCACTACCATATAATAACATACGCAAATAATCACAAAAACATCAACAAATACTAGCAAACCTGACAATTATCACAAAGACAATCATTTTACAATAAACATCAACTAGTGGGTCGGTATTGGTGCATTCGACCCACGAATTATGCGAAGGGAGACTCACCTCGAATGTTGAAGCTCGCTGAAAGAATTCCCTAGTTGCAGCCCTGACGACACCTTCGAACTAACAGATCAAAATAACACCAAATCAACAATTGGATTCCATTCCAAGGCCTAATTAACCATACTTGGGGTAAAATTACCATTTTACCCCTGACCCAAACAAGAAACAAAACTGAGGCCCAACTTCAATAACCAAAAAGGCCCAAAACCAAAAGATCCACAAAGGCCCACTAATGGCCCAATTTTCCAAATTGGGCTCAATCCCATATGGGCCTTATCCTAAGCCCATACTTCCCTAAATTTCAATTCAGATTACCTCAATTACCCCTTGGGACAAACTTGCTCAAAGTCATTATTCAAAAGTCAAAGTCAACGGTCCAAGTTGACCCAACTCGCCGAGTTTCCTTCATCAGACTGAAAAAAATCGAGAAAGACTGATCCAACTCGCCGAGTTCACCCCAAAAACTCGCCGAGTTCATCAGGAACCAAACATCTTAATCCATTAAGCCGACATAATTGAAACTAACAGCTTCCCCACTCAGATCTTAACTAAAAAAGCGTCTAGAAGGATAAAGTTTCCAACTTTACCCCTAGGAACCAACCAAGTGGGCTCAAAACCCAAATCCTAGGCTTAAAAGGTTAAGGGATTAATCAATAAACACTTAACCACCAAAACAATGCCCTAAAATACAGATCTGGTCCTTTAAGACTGCATGGTCACATAAAGCTTCCAACTTTACCCTCATGAATGGCTAGGAGAGGCTCAAAAGCTCACAAGAGACTAAAAGAAGAGCTTAATAGATGCATGAAGCCCTTAAGACCATAAAGTTGGCACCTTTATGCCAAAAGAACTCATGAAGGCCATAGATCTGGAAAGGATAAACACTTGGGACTTCTACTTCCCCAACAGCCACTCATCCATGGCTAAAAGCATATAAATAAACCCAAGAAGAGATCTAAGCTAATACTAAGCAAGGTTAGAGCTTTATACCCGAAATGTGTTGGAAATGGAGCAGAGAACCAAAATTTGAAAGCTCCTACTTGAACCACCACCTTGCACCAAGCTTCTCTTCCTTCAATGAGCCTTAAACACACCAAAACACACCCACAATGAGCTCACAACACTCAAGTAGGCTCTAGGGTTTCGAGATTAGGGTTAGGGGCTATGGAAGCTGGAAATGAGGCCAACACCTGGAACTTAAGGTGTTTAAATAAGGTGCAAAACCCCAAAATTAGGGTTTCCTAAAAAGCGCCCAACTCGTCGAGTTGGCTCATCCAACTCGTCGAGTTCTCTCATTAAACCCCGCGACCAGAACAACTTATACTCGTCGAGTTGAGGCTCTTCAACTCGTCGAGTAGACCCTTTAAATCCCCGCAATTCTTCATCTTCAACTCGCCGAGTTGGCTCCTCCAACTCGCCGAGTTGAGGCTCTTCAACCTGCAATTTGCATAATTCCACAATTAACCTTCTGGATTCCGGGTGTTACATTTGTAAACTAATAATTTTCTAAAAAATGTGTTATTTGTAAAAACGATTTTATAAATAACAAAGTCGTAAAAAGTAATTTTATTAAAAAAAGACTATATTCCATAAAACAAATAAAGAGACAACTGTAAAAAAAAATAGAATTGTGAAAATTCCTAAAAGAAATCTGGACTAGTTTCGTAACGAAAATATATATATATATATATATATATATATATATATATATATATATATATAAAGCCCAAACTATATAAATAGAAAACTGAGTAGCGGACTTGGGTCGGATTTGGATCCATAATTAGGTGGAACAAATGACTCGCAGAAAAAATGAAGGGTGGGAATCAAACATTCAAACCCCAAACAACTCTTTGCACTTAGTTCATGAGTCCCCTTTTAAAAAGATTAGTGAAAGGTAAGGAAGAACTGAAATGAAATGAAAAAAACTTGACATTCCCAAGTTTTTAAATAAAATAAATTGGAAAGATGAGGACACAGTGGATGTTAAACGAGTGTCGAATCAAATAAAATCGAATATAATGGGATATTCTAATGCAAAATGGTGGGATTTTAAGAGAGGGTGGAGTTCTCTTTCGTATATGACGCTA